CCAAAAAAAAAAAAAAAAAAAAAAAAGTTTACCTTCTAATGCAGAAGTCAGATGTTATCTTTTGAGGTTATGTAGTTTTATTTTAGTTGTTTTTCTCTTTAGTCTACAAAATGATAGGTCAAACTAGAGGCTGATTTAATGAGTTTTGGGTGGCGCCGGGACATTGGCATCCATGAAAAGCCTACAAGATAATTCTTTTTTCTTTTTTGAGTCTTGCTGTGTTGCCCAGGCTGGCCTGGAATTCCTAGGTTCAAACAATCCTCCTGCCTCAGCCTTCCAAGTGCTGGAATTACAGGTTTGTGCTGGCTCTACCAGATAATTCCAACATGCAGCCAGTGATTTTTGGCACCAAAAAATCCATGATTTTGGTAACTTAAATTTTTTGATAAAAGTAAATAAGGAAATCAAATTCCCTTTGTAAGCTAGGTGTGGTGGCATATACTCATAATCCCAGCACTCAGGAGGCTTAGGCAGGAGGGTCCTTGAAAGTTGGAGGCCAGCCTGCTTTACATAGTGTTTTAAAAACAAGAAAAAAAGAGAAACAAAGATACTGAGTCTTTACTATTCACTAGGGATGACAATTCTCTGATGTGTGTATGTGTGTGTGTGTGACACGATGTGCCTCTGCTGAGTGGGAGAGGAGCTGTGGACTTTGTGCGGACCTTACAGAAACTCGGGGGACAGACAGTAACAGACAAGAGCATGCTCCGGTGAACAGGTGACATCCGAGTAGGAAACTCTAGCTGGGTTCGCCCCCAGAACCATCGCCTTTTAAAATGCACTTCAGGGCTGAGGATTTAGCTTGGTGGTTCCGCCACCTGCTTTCACAAGCACAAGGACCCGAGTTCAATCTCCGGTACCGAGTAAAATAGAATAAAATGCACTTCAGCTTCAGAGCCGGATTCTCCATGCCCTTGCGAGACCTTGAGTCCTGTGTCCGTAGCAAAAGGTCCCTGAGGTCAACACCCACTGCCCATGAGCCTGGAAACTGCAGGATCAGAGTCTGGGATGTGGACCTGAAATATAAGTCCAAAAAGTAATGTTGCCATCCAAAATGAGCATTTTCTAAACATATTTATTTGAAAGTTTCCAAAAAAGTAGAGCTCCTGCCCCTGGGCTCCTGGGAGTATGTACAAAATACAATAATTAAATTAAATCCAGCAGTTAAAATTCCTCATAAAAAGAAAACGCTGAGTGCTTCCCAATGGGGAATGCTCGACTTAAAAGAAAGGTTTCACTCCATGGCCTGCAGGTCAACAAACTGGACTCTGCCGAGAATGGATAAAATTTCTTAAAGGGCTTCTTCAGTCTTTGTTTTGCACAAAGAAAATAAAAGAGTAAAAAAGGACAAGTTTTGAAAATTCAAAAAATGAAGGTGCTGCCCTAAAATCATCACGAGTTTTATAAATGCCACACCGGAGGCTATGAAAACACACGCTCTTTCCCAAGCACTAATCGAACACATATGTGCTTGCAGGGGGAGGAAAGGCCAGAGGCTTTGAAGGAATCTTGAAAACCTGCTCATTTCAGAGGCAGCGCTAGCAAATCCATGACGCTGCCTGGCTACTTACTTTGAAAATGTTCACCTTAAATATTCTCGTAAATGTTTTTCACAATTTGAAATTCCCCGGATGACACATGACTGACTGTATTTTTTTTAAAAGGGCTTTTATGAAGCAAAATCATACCAATAATCTTTTGGGGTCACCTTCCAAAATGGAATGTTTGTTGTAATTTGAAAATACCAATTTTTCATAACATTTCACATTGCTTTTCTGGTAATGTCACTGCAAAAAGAATAGGATAGAAATAGGATTTTGCAAGTTATATGTAAATAACTTTGTGCCTTATATATAAATAATATAAAATTTATATTTTGTATTTATACAAAGTTGTATTTTATACCTTTTTTTTTGAGACAAGAGCTCTCTAGGTAGTCCAGGCTGGCTTCCAACCTGGGACGGTCCTCCTTTCTCAGCCTCGTCAGTGCTGAGACCACAGGTATGCTCCACCAGGCCCAGCTGCTACAATAGAATCTTAATGTGGGCTTTGCATTAAGACAACATGATCCGATGTAGGCCAATAGGAATAGCAGTTCTGGCAGCAATATTTAATTTACTAAAAAATTAGCAGCCTCGCTGACATTTCTGCTTTGATTCCCAGAGCACATTAGCTGTTGTCTGCTCTCTGGGCTTCTCTAGGAAAATACGCATCGTACATATCCTGTGGTGAGTTCACAGGAAGTGAGGGTTGTGGTGTGTCTTGGACAGCTCATGATTTAAGAAGCTAGGTTTCTCTCTAAAACATGGACAAGGGCCGGGGATTTAGTTCAGTGGTGCCGCTGCCTGCCTTGTAAGCACAAGGGCCCAAGTTCAATCCCTGATACACACACACACACATACAACATGGACAAAGAATTAGAGGAAAAAATTGCACAGTTTTTTTGCTTCCTTTCCCCCACTATATTTGTTATTTGTGAAGGGCAGAAGGGAGAGAATG